CATGTTGATCATTGTTAAACAATCGTGCATCCATCCTCCACTGATTATGTATGGCATTTAAAGGCAATACTTGAATTTTCATATCCTTAATCATGTGTCCACAAGGAATACCCATCGTTTTGAAAAAATGGCCTGTGCATTGAGATGAAAGATTACCATATTTTGCAGCTTCATGTTGCTTGTATAACTCATCTAAAGCAAACATAGATACATGAGTAACAACTTCTTTAAAGAATGGAATCCGAAGTCTATGTGGAACACGAACCTTTTCACTTGAGAGTTGAGTTTTGATTTCTTGAAATTGATGTTCAATAGCAAGACATATTTTTTCTTTTACCTCACGAAGGCCTCCGGTTGAAACTTGAAGATACTTCTTTAGTATTGCATGTGCACCTTCAGCTCTTGAAGTAGCCCGATTACCTAAGTGTGCAACCTCATCTGTCCATGCACTTACAAATTTTTCTTTCAATGGCAGCCAAGTACCTCTAATATAGTTCAAAACAGCTGCATTCTCCTTGTACTCATTTTCAAAATGATCCCAAGCTTTATCGAATGATGATTCATTTGGAGATTTGATTAAATCAGCCCAAGTAGATAGGAAAGCAACCCAATCAACTTCTTCTCTAAAATGAGGTTTACAATTTGCAAGAATGTTTTTCTCAATATGCCACATGCATAACAAATTACAAGCACTTGGGAATACAATGCGTATAGCATTCATTAAGGCCAATTCTCTATCTGATATGATCACCAATGGCTGATTATGAACTCCCAAAATTTTATTGAACATTTCTAGAGCCCACACATAATCCTTCTCTTCTTCTTTTTGCATGAAGACAAAACAAGAGTAGAATGAAGTGTTGAAACTTGAAACTCCTATTATATCCAATAATGGCATCTTATACTTATTAGTTTTATAAGTGCAATCCATCAAAAAGACATGTGGGTAACTCTTACTCAATTCAATTGATATAGGATGAGCAAAAAACAAATGAGTCAAATGCCCTTCTTGGTCATACTCAATGTTATAAGAGAAACCACCTTCACCAAGTTCATCCACTAATGCTTGAATAACAGTACGTCCTGCTAGGCTCTCTTCCAAAATTTTAGCCTTCTTATTGTAAATGTTTCTGGAAATTGCTTGAAGATGAGGATTGCTCTGTCGAAGTGAAGAGAGAATTTGGCGCGGTGGTATACCAGCCATACACATTTCTTTAATCCGCATAATTTCCTCATTTGAAAATCGACGACAATAGGGATGTCCAGACATGTCCGTTGAAGGTTCATGATTATGCAACAAACTTTTAATCTCCAACTTCCAAAATCCTTGAAGTTTCCTTTTCTTTTTGCCCCAAATTTCAAATGGACAGTTTATGAGGCGAGATGCTGATTTCTTTTTTCTTTCCTCTAGTGGAACTTTTCTGCTTTTATAATTACCGCCTCTATCACAACCAAGGACAACATATATCTCGGATTTAGATCTTCTAATAACTAGTGCATACCCTTGCACAAAGGCAATCTTACGAGCAGCTTCAATGAGGTCATCCCAACTTTGAAATTTTTTGTTTGTCAAAGAGAGCATTTTGTCACTTTTATCAATCGATGCTTCACTGCCTATATCACAAACCATCCAATTTATATGAAACATAAACTACACATTGACTACAGCTATGAAGAATGTTTATGCTTCACTGCCTATCCCATATTAGTTAAGAATGAATATATATATATATAACATAATACGTACTGCTATGAGACATTTCATTGAGCAGTTGGTTGGCGCCTCTAATGGGTTGCACCAGCAGGTCACCACGACCTTTGCCCAAGGGCAATAATAAAGAGATAGCAATGGCACTAATTTAAATTTGTCTTTGTGTGCACCTGAGAAGATAATGGGGCAAAAGAAAGACAGAGCATACAAAAAACTAACTCAAAATTGAATTGCAATTCATCAGAGCACCAAGTATTTCGTAAAACTGAACCTATGAATAAGATAATATGTAATGCTCAGCAAAGTGAATTTCTTTTTAATACAGAAACATCTTCTAGAGTTCAAAAAGCTTCCTTTTGGACACAGAGATGTAAACCATCAATACCATCTCCCCACAAGGTTAACAAATCCCTTATGAAAAGGTTAAACGTAAAGATACACACACATACATAAAACCAATATGCTAATTCGCTGCTAATGATCGATAAAGTTAGATTAAGTAAGAAATAAAACGTACCCTGCATAATATCTTGAGAATTTGAAGGATTACTAAATTCTGTCATTCCACTCAAATCACTGTTGCCCACCATGTCTAAAATCCTCTGCAACTCATACTCTAATTTTTGTTCTTCATCCATAGCTAACCTTTCACCAATAATTAAGAGTATTTGCTTTGGGTAGGAGAAGGATTGAGTATCTCTAGGTATGAGAAGTGGGAAAGACACGATGAAGGAGAAGAAGAGGGTTTGGGTATCAAAATAGAAGAAGACGCTCTGAAGAAGACGTTCTGACTTCTTTTTTTATTTTATGTTAACTTTTCTTAATTTTAATTATCAAAACATTAATTTAGAATTATCAAAACATTAATTTAGAATTATCAAAACATTAATTTAGAATTATCAAAACATTAATTTAGAATTATCAAAACATTAATTTAGAATTATCAAAACATTAATTTAGAATTATCAAAACATTAATTTAGAATTATCAAAACATTAATTTAGAATAAGGGTATAAGAGGAAATAGAAATAACAAAAAAGAAAAAAATTGATTAAAAATTATTATAAAGCAAAAGGGAGTGTAAGTGGAGAATTTGGGAGTGGGGAAATCAGCTCCCATTGAAAAAATGTAGGTTTTACACATTTGATTGCTGGAGTTTTTTCAAAGGGGTCAATGGTAAAGATTGCTGAGAACATCAATCACCGAGTTTTTATTTGCTTGGAAAAGGACCTTTTTTTCATTAGGATAATTGGTTGAGAACTGCCAACTGGTTCACTAAGAAGGTGAAAGGTCATGTCCTTGTTGCTGAATGTAAGAATGTAGTCATGGCTGCTCTTGCATCCTGTATATGAATATAGAAAAACTTCAACATTATTGCAATACCTTTAGCCGACATTGATTTGGCTGATTGAAGGAAAAAGTTTGTTTTGTTGGTTTAGGGACATTGATTTTACAGTTGAGTGTTGAGGTACTTTAGGGACTTAATTCTTGTTGGTTTTCATATTTGCTTGTCTTAACTAGCCTTGTGGCTAATTTATCTAGTAGATACTCAATTCTGATTCAGATTTGCTTGTCTTAACTAGCCTTGTGATTTTACAGTTGAGGTTCTGTTGTGATCAATGTTTATACTCAAAATGATTTTTCCACACAAAATGATTTGGTCTATACTCAATTCAGATTATAAAATTAGGTCTTTGGCTTTGAAAACTTGTTTGAGGAATTCTTGTAAGTAATTAAACTTAAATTAATATGCTTGGACTTTAGTCGACACGTTCGCCTAGCATAAGAAATTCAGTCATGTACTAGCATAATGAGGAGGCTAATATTATGAATTCTCACTCAATTCAGGGTCAGCCATGACTTTTGGGTGGCCCTAGGCTAGAAATGAAAATGAGGCTCATTTCTCTTTCATTCTCCTGAATATAATAAACTAACATGGAAAAAAAAATTCAATTAAATACAATTTGGATAAATAGACACGGCTCCAATATTGCCCATATAATCGCTTCCCCAATCTGAAAATAAACAAGAATAAAGATACAAATAATTTGCACTCTTTCATATTTCCTCGCTAAATAATCTACTGACAAGAATTTTTGGATAAATAAAAGAATTTCTAGTCCCTATTGGCTTTCTTTCATTGATTGCTACTTTTCGCAATTAAATACTTAAATACATGCAATTGATATTCACATACATGCAATTGATATTCACATATTACATAATTTTCATTTGGACTCTTCAGAAACACTTATAATCAGATTTGGGGCCTCTAAATGCCAAACTATTGAAATTATTCTCCTCTAAAATTATATTCTTCAACTTGGTACATATATAAAATATACAAATATATAATTTAGGGCCCTATAAATGCGAGGCCCGTGCCATTGCCCTCCTTGCCCACCCTCAGGGCGGCACTGGCAGTCACCTAAGCAAAAACAAAAACAAAAATCCAAAAACCAGTTGAATTATAGGGAGTCTCTAACTATATGATATCCAACACATTAATTTTAATAGATCACCCAAATATCCACTAGTTTCTCCTTACGAATCTCCTCTTGTCCAATTTTCACCATCTAGTCAAAATGTTCTTCAAAACCATTTGTCCATTTCACTGACGCATAGAGACCATCAAATGGAGAAGGTAAATAGATTTGTCATGTAGTCATCTGTCCATTTCACGATGTGAACAATTGTGTGGTGAAAACATGTAAGCATGTTGATTTTATGTCTGCATGTGGAAAACAGAAGTTGATGCACTACATTAATTCAAGTGTTGCGAATGACTAAAACAATGATTGGTTTGTCTTGAGCTCCTGAATTATTATTTGTGTATTGAATTCATTCGCCATCCAAAATTTCAATCTGGAGAGGTAAATTTCCAGCTTTAAAAACAAAACGAAACAAATCTCAATTTATTATTTTGAGTTAAACTCTATTGCAATCCGTAGAATAACTTGGCCAATTTGCGAACTTGGGAAGAACCAATTAGAAAGGTCATTAAGTTCTTAACATAATTGGTTAATTCTGTTCATTAATCTTTTACGTAACTTAATTGGTTAATTAAGATCGTCATTAACTTTGTTCCTGCATTAATCTTTTACGTACGTCTTCTTCAATTGCATGCTAAACTTAGACAGAACCAAAACCAGCCACCAATTCGAAGAATCCAAATTCCAGAACCAAAGAAAGAAAAGAATTCCAAAACCAAAGAAAGAAAAGAGACATAACTCTATCATTAGAAATATTTGACAAACAAGGTTTGCCAGAAATCTTGGTTACATCTGAGCAATCACCTAACAAAAAAATTTATTAAAAAAAAACAATTGAATTATAACTAGAAGAAAAATAATAGACAAAAAGTCAAATTATGTAATAATAACAGGTATCTAGGGGATCTTTAACTCTCTCACTCGAATGCCCATCGGTTCTCATTACGAACCTCCTGTTCTTCCTCAGGCGTGAAGTCATTCTTGATGTTGAAGATCTCACGGATCTCTTCAGGTGTCTTTCCCTTGATCATGTCCGCCACAGTCTGGCAGGTCAAATCCAGCAGGCTCTTGATATTGAGATAGTTTGCAGCCAAGATTAAGTCAAACAGAGTACTCTGGTCCACCTTCACGAACGCAGCATCCCAGTTCTTAATGTCCTCTTTGTTCTTCTCGCCATCGGCATCCTCTTCATGTTTCTTCTTGCAGTACTCGATCACCTTCGCTACGATGTTGCTGGTCACGTTCGGCAGAGGTATTGGGCCATCGGCGCAGTCGTCCTCCACCATGTGCCTGATGGTCTGTGACTGCATGGCCACAGCCTCCTCCACCTCGAAGATCTCACCGTCGTCGCTCTTCAGTGTTATCTTCTTCATCTCAACGGAGGCCATTGTTTTGGTCTTTGTAATATTAACTAAGACTTTGAATTGAGAACTTGGGAGAGAGTTTCTTCTTTGGCTTTGGTTGAGAGATTTGAGTTGCAAAGGTTGAGAGACTTTAGGGTGATTTTATAGCCTACCCATAACACCTTGTCCAAGTGGGAAAAGGAGAGATTTTTTTTCTCATATTAGGAAACATTCTCATACTAGGAAAAGGAAAGTCGCTGACGGCCCCTGTAACAAATAGGAAAGGGAAAGTTTTACTTTAATTATATATTTTTTCATGCAGCTTGATTTTATCCTACCCTATTATTGGGCAAGATTTTGGTAGAAGATGCTGGGGGCCTTGGCTGCACTAATTAAGGATGGCATGACTTTGACCTCTTGATCTATCTTAATCCTAATGACTTGCCCTGATGACTTAGCTGTTGGCTCGTTATGTGTTAACAAAGAGAGAAAAGAAAAGGAAAAAACTGGCTCAGAGACTAAAGTAATGAAATGTAAGATTGATACAATTTCAATCTTTTGCTATTTCTTTCACCCACAAACAAAACATAGGAAGAAACACAACAGTTGAAGTAAAACTCTAAACCTCGGTTTCATTCAGATTGACTAAAGTCCAAGCACATTAATGTAACTATTACAGACGTTAAAGAAAATAGTTGCTAGTTGTCGCCTTGGTAAACTCCCAATCATTGAAGGATAAAATATGAACCCTAATGCCAGACATTCTGGACAGCCTGAACCTGGTTTGTGGCTCAACCTGCAAATCATTCCACTACATGCAAGAGGAGAATTGGAAAATGAACTCTTGACTTTTATCAATCCTGTTTTTTTTCTTCTTTTTCCAAAGTTGGAGAAATGGATGGCTATTTCTTTCACCCACAAACAAAACATAGGAAGAAACACAGCACACCTTTTAAAATAGAGTTGAAGTAAACTCTAAACCTCCATGTTAATATTGAAATAGTAGCAACACATTCTCTTTCATCTCTATCAGGATAATATGCTAGCACATGAGAAATTCGGATGCTAGGCTGACCTCGGTTTCATTCAGACTGACTAAAGTCCAAGCATATTAATGTAACTATTACAGACGTTAAAGAAAATAGTTGCAAGTTGTCGCATTCGGTAAACTCCCAATCATTGATGAAGGATAAAGTATGAACCCTAATGCCAGATATTCTGGACAGCCTGAACCTGGTTTGCGGCTCAACCTGCAAAGCATTCCACTACATGCAAGAGGAGAATTGGAAAATGAACTCTGACTTTTATCAATCCTGTTTTTTTCTTCTTTTTCCAGAGTTGGAGAAATGGACAGCTTCATACGAACTTACTTTACAAGCAACATTTTTAGCTCAGATATTTAATAATTAAATGAACCCTTGATACCCTCAAGGCTCTCTCCCAAAGATAACCTGCAAGGAAACATGTATCAAGAGTTTCAAAACAACCCCAAGTAATTTGCCAATGCCTTGATGCGATTATTTATGTAGGTAAACTGTCTTTAGCTTGAATTGGAAACTGTAAGATAAAAATCACCAAAAAGTGAGAAAGAAAAGGTTGCAGCAGACACAACTTTTACAACACCAATACAAGTAATCTCAAAAACCCAATACAAAATTACTCGACCAGCCTGGCAAACTAAGCACAAAATTAAAAGAAATGGGCAGAGACAAAGCAATGCGCTCGTAAGGATTGAAACATCTGCAGGAAAAACATTCCTATGCTAAGTTTGGATGCTCAGGACATGCAGCTCATCCCATTAT